GACATGTCGTCTCCCATCTTCCCAAACCCATTCAATTTGGTGCTTGAACTCCATGTCCATGAAGCTGGACTTGCCAAATTGCAGCCATAGTTATAGACTTTACCTGCGAAATGTATTAATTAACAATGGGGAAAAGATTGAATTTTTACATCAACTGATGTGAGAAAAAAAAAGGATTATTTGATGTTGGGCTTCATTCAATTTGACAATATTCCATTACCCCTTTGCTGCTTAGAGCGGAGAAGCCAGAAGTAGGGAGCTCGAGGAGCAGAGAGAGCTGGGTTCCTCCATCAGCTGCTTTGAGGAAATACTCATCCACTTCCTTCACAATCTCCACTAGATCTTTACTGTTCCTCGAGACCACCATGGGCAGCTCAGAGACAGTCATGGTGGTGACCTCCTCCCATTCCTCCTCCATGGTCGTCCCCGACCGAGTGGCCGACGGCGGGGGAGGGACGAAAGGGTCCCAGAAATCCCAGCTGGAAGACTGAGGAACCGGCGGCGGAGCAGGGGAAGCGGAGATCGAGGTCCAGGTAGTGTCGGAGCAGGGGCTCATTGGAGGAGGAGGCGGCGGCGAGAGAGGGGGCGAGGGGGACGGGATCGCCGGTTGGTGGCGGTGGTGGTGGTTGTAATTGGGGCGGAGGTGGGGGTGGGGGAGATTGGTTTCGATGTTGGAGAAAGTGAGAAGTGGGAAAGGGGTTTTTTTTTGTTTTCTGGGTGGGTTGGGATTTGGGGGAAGAAATGTATCAGAGGAGACGAACAGATTTGGTGAGGGATGGTGAAGGATTGGTCTGCTGGGTTAGGTCGAACAGGTTTGCGGGAGGAGGTGGGAGGAAGGAGGAGAGCGGCGGCGGCGGCGGTTTTGGGGAAAGAAGGAGGTGAGAGGAAGGAGGAAGAAGGGTTGGGTGGGGTTGGGTCATGGGTTGGGTTGGGTTGGTTTTAATGACGTGGCGGGTTATAATGACGTGGCAGGTCGGATTTTATTTTTGTTGGGTTATATCCGGCTGATTAGGCAATTCTGTTTGCCACATCATCACTTAACGGAGTTGGACGAAGACTAACGGCGAGTGACTAAATGTGTCCAGTTTTAGTAATTGTAGTGACCAAATTTGATATTAATTTTTTCTAGTGACTAAACATGTCCCGATTTTGTAATCTCAGTGACCAAATGTGTCTTTAACCCTTCTTATATGGATCTCACTGCCATATCAACCACTTAAGCAATAGCTCTTTCAAATTATCCAGCAACGCTTTAGCCATTTCTATTATGGGGATCATGTATATATGTATGTATAAACAATTCTTCAATTATAAAAAATTCGGACTTTGCTACTGTGACATGCATGTCAGCGTAACTTGCACTTTTAGGCCGACATTATATAGGATTAGGTCGATCTAATCTGCACTTTTAGGTCGACCTTATATAGGATTAGGTCGACCTAATATGTCGTTTCAGTTTTGTGAGCTAGGTTCAACGACGTGGTTGACCTTTTATAGCAAATGGTCGACCTCTTTGGGAAGCGATGTGGGTGGTTCTTTTGCTCGTACAAATTACGTTTCAAACCAACAGAATCAGTCATAAATAATGATAACAAGGACTCATAACTTCATAACATAACAACTAAACAAACTAACAAGAAATACAATAAAACACAAATCATAATTGTTCACACATAACTTAAATCTAAAACCACATAATATCAATCCACAATCATTTTTAACACTTAACAATAAATGCACAATCTAAAATCGTCGAGTTTCTACTCCTGTCCCCTCTCTCCCTCAGCCACATTTTCTTCATTGGTGTTGCTAGCATTATGGTAGTCGGAAGTTACAGTGACATGCATGTATCTTCCACTGAAAGCTCGAAACTCATCTCGCATCTCATTCACGGTCACCTGCAATATGCTCATATGGGTGGTCATTTTTTCCATGTAGTCGTACATGCCAGTTGTCTGGGTGGAAATCTGACTCATCATGTAGTCGTACATGCCATCAATGCGCTTCCCAAGAAGTCGATCATTTGCTATAAAAGGTCAACCGAGTCGTTGAACCTCACGAAATTGAAACGGCATATTAGGTCGACCTAATCCTATATAAGTCGACCTAAAAGTGCATATTAGGTCGACCTAAAATTATATAAGGTCGACCTAAAAGTGAAGAATAGGTTGACCTAATCCTATATAAGGTTGACCTAAAAGTGCAAGTTATAGTGACATGCATGTCACCATAGGCATACCCAAAAAATTAACATATCTAAACTTTAAAGTTAAAAGAGAATAGGTAAATACAACCCCACGTGGCATTGTAAGTGGAATTTCTTATTTAGCAAGATTGTTAAGTTAGTAATTGACTTCACATCCCTGCAATTGAATTAGCGGGGAAAGTTAATCTGCTAACTTGAAGATTCGTTAGCAGATACTAACTGATATCCAAAATACATAAACTAATATCCAAGTACTAAAGTATCTAGAGAGCACAGACTAGTATTCAAAGATTGCTAACTGATATCCACCATGAATCAACTATTATCTCAAATTCACAAACTAATATCTAGACAACACATAATAGTATCCAAACAGCACATAATTAGTATCCAGATAACATATAAGTGTATCAAGATAACCCATAAGAGTATCCATATTGAATACTAGTTGGTTGATTGTGGATATTAGTTGGTATCGCTATCTAGATACTAGTTTGTGATCTTTTGAATACTAGTCTGTGCTATCTAGATACTTAGCAAACTTGGATATTAGTTCATACATTTTGAATATTAGTTAGTATATACTAACGAATCTTCAAGTTAGCAGAATAACTAGACTGGAATTAGCAATTTACGAACACATTCCACCTAATTAAGTTTTAGCAATTGCATATACAAGGGGATGAAGACGTTCTCATGCCTTGATTATGATTGGTGGTAGTACTGTTTGTTTGGATGTAACGACGACGTACTAGATAGTGGTAGTAGTTTGAGGACCAAAATATATGAATTTTGGTCACTAATTCGTATGTCTTGAAAATGTGATCTTTGACATGATTACTTTTGCCAGAGGCACTGATCACACAAAGTAATAATTAAGTAATGAGAAAGTGAGGATCTTGTACAAGTGTCAGAGTTAGCTCCTCTTTCTTTATTATTAACTAGCTTATTACCCGGCCCGTTGGCCGGATTACTGGATGTTACCCACTTGTGGAATGGGAGAGAAAGCAAGTGAGAGTGAAGGGATTGAGATTCCACTTGATTAGGACCGACCCACTAATCCAATTCTTCCCGACCCGCCCCAACCGGAAAAAATCCCAAAGTACACTAGTTTTTAAAAAAAATTCCCAAAATACATAAGTTATAAAAAAAATTCCAAAAGTACACATGTTTGGGCATCACCGTGTTTGACAAAAGCGGTGAAGTTTATCACCGCGTTTGTCAAAGACGGTGAATACTTCACCGTTTAAGACCAAAACGGTGACGTATTCACCGCTTTAACCTAAAACGGTGATATATTCACCGCGTTTGTTGGAAACGGTGAATACATCACCGTTTATGTTGACAACGGTGATTACCTTCACCGTTTTAGGTTAAAGCGGTGATATATTCCCACGTTTCCCACCCCTGGTAGGTCAAAATTAGGTCACACCTACCTATTATTCACCGTTTGAGACAAACGCGGTGATGGTGTTCACCGTGTTTGACAAAAACGGTGAATAGTAGCAAATTTTCCTATAAATACCCACCCACCAGCAGAAGCAAAAACTTACCACTCCCCCCTTCTTCAAATTTCAGCAACAAAAATCGAGCATAATACACAGAACAGACATTTTTCGGTATGTTGAGACTTTTCGTATTATTGTCTAATTATGTTTTTAGTAGTTATAGTATGATTAAATTTTCCTATTATGTTGTTGTTAGTTAGTTGAATTTATGTTCGTTAGTTATAGTATGATTTAATTTTCGTATTATGTTGTTGTTAGTTAGTTGAATTTATTTTCGTTAGTTATGAGATGGACAATATAGTATGATTTAATTTTCGTATTATGTTGTTGTTAGTTTGGTTAATTTTACTGTCTTTAAACTAATATATACTTATCCTCGATTTGTAGATATGGGTAAATTCAAGAAGTTTCATCTTAATATTCGGTGGAATGGAAGGGTGACAAACTCTAACATAGGCATTGATTATGAGGACGGCGAATCCATTATGCTGAACATTGGTTCCCGATTCAATTTTCAAGAACTCTGTGATCTTTGTGCAGAAAGGGTTTGTACGAGCGGACAGACGAGACTTGGCAGAATTACTTACCGGTATCCAGACATGAGTGCTGGCGGGGTCGTGTACCAAGAAGTTGTCATAAATGATGATGACGCGGTTACGATGATGTTACAGTTCCTAAGCGATAACCAAGTCCGGCTTGCAGAGGTGTATGTTGAGACCGAGGCGGTCGGTGAATCTCATTCTCACCAGTATTCTTATGATGATGGTTTTGCAGGAGGGTACGAATGGGGTGGTAGTTCGAGCAACTACCAAGGCGGTGGTTATACAGGAGGTTACGGGGAGGGTGGTGGTTCAATCAACTACGGTGGATCGAGTAGTGCAGGATGGGAGAAATACTCGCAACCTCCTAAACCAGCCCCATTTGTTGAGGCCGATGGTGTTCAATGGCCTGCTTGGGGGCCAGAGTGGTATGGAATCGAGAATACCATTCGATCAGGGCGTACTTCACATGAGCGAGAGGACGATGTTGGTGATCGTGGTCATGTTGATCCTTCTAGCCCGAGCTATCCATTCGAGTCGAGCGACGAGGATACTGAGGAAGATTTGAGATCAGTGAGCGAGGAGGAGGAAGATACTGATGATAACGAGGATGAGGCGGCATTTCGTGAGGCACCCACGCCATATTACACACAGGTTCCAACTCAATTTTTACATAGTCAGAATGATCCCCCCGATTATGTCCCTTTGCCAGTGTACAATCCGACGGCCAATTTGGAAGTGGGTATGGCGTTCCCATCGAAAGATGCTGTGCAGGATGCGTTTACAGAAGAGGCGTTGAGGCGCAATTTCGAGTGGAAGGTAAAATATTCTGACAGTAAACAACTACATGTCATATGCAAGCATGATGCAGAGGGTTGTACGTGGCAACTGCGGGCTGCAAATATGAAGAGAAAGGGTGCTTGGGTGATTCGCAAAGCTGAGACGATCCACACATGCTCCTCTTCTATACTTTCCCAAGATCACAGGCAACTAAAGGCAAAAAAGGTTGGGAGAACTATTAAGCACCTTATAGAAGCACAACCAGATATCAAGGTGAAAGCTATCATGGCAGAGGTGAAGGATCGACATTCTTACACGATAAGGTATAAAAAAGCATGGCATGGTAAGCAGAAAGCCATGGCTGAGGTGTATGGTGATTGGGAGGATTCGTATGCTTTACTCCCTAGACTTATGGGAGCAATGGAGGAGTCCAATCCTGGGACTGTTTTCGTCCCAGTATACAACAATGTATACACTGAGGATCAAGTTCGAGTACAGGATAAGTTGATGTTCCATCGTCTTTTTTGGGCTTTTAAACCATGCATTGACGGATTTGGGTTCTGCATACCGGTTATTCAGGTATTTTACCAACTAGTTCCAGTTTTAAATGTTGTATTATTTGTTGTTTAGTATATTTCATACTAATTATAGTCTTAATTTTTATTCAGGTTGACGGAACTTTCCTTACTGGGAAGTACAAAGGATGTCTTCTAATTGCCACTGGCGTAGATGGAAACAGGCGGATTTTCCCGCTTGCATTTGCATTAGTGGAGGGGGAGAACAGCTTAAGTTGGGCTTGGTTCTTTGACCAACTGCACGAGCACGTGACACAGCGGGAAGATATTACGATTATATCCGATCGACATGCGGGGATAAGGAATGCTGTTGGTGGTTTTCCCGACGAGTGGGGGTGGAGATGGAGATGGTGTATTCGACACTGGCTCGCCAATTTCCAACACAAATTTGGGAAGAAGAAAGACATCAAGAATTTACTTTGGAATGCAGGTACTAATGTTTTACTTATGCGATTTAAGTTTGTGTTTATTAAGCTGATAATCAAAATTTTATTCATCATGTATTGACCAGTTAGTCTTTTGTTCACCTTTTAGCGGTTGCACATCAACCAAAAAAGTACGAGGAGAAGATGAAAACGATCCGTCATACCCACCGAGCTGGAGCAGTATGGGCTGAAGGTCAAGAGTTGCCCATGTGGACGTTCCATATGGACAACGGGGCCAGATGGGGCATTGCAACTACCAACCATGGAGAAAGTATAAATAATGTGTACAAGGGTCTTCGAGCGATGCCTATTTCTGTCATCGTGGAGATGTCTTACTGGAAGGTCAACGAATGGCGAGTTGCTCGGCTACAGCTAGCAATAGGGAGGGAGTTGCAAGGTCATTCAATAGCACATGACGTATTCGCTCAAATGCAGAAGAACGATGAAAAATCAAGTAAGCATAAGGTTGTTCTTTTTGACCGCAGTGAAGGAATATTCGCTGTCGAAACAGGTATATGGGGTGGAGGGAGACGTGGTCACAATCGTCAAACGGTTAAATTGCACTACGAATTAGGGGAGTGTTCTTGTCAAAAGTATCAGAACGAAAGGATACCCTGTTCACATGCAATGGCGGTTGCTAAGTCAATAACCATGAACAGAAACAGCCTGGTGAGTCCTTACTACACTGAGCAAGCGATACGGAACTCATATAATGCAGCTTTGAGCCCCATGCCAGATGAAGCGTATTGGCCTATATACACTGGAAAGTTGATTATCCCACCGTTGCACCTAAAACGCACCAAAGGTCGTCCTAGAGTTGAAAGGATACACAATGAGATGGATCAAGTTGAACGGACGAGAAGGGGTCCGAAGCGATGCTCTAAGTGCAGACAACCTGGTCACGACAAGAGGCGTTGCCCAGGACAACCATCAACTTAATTTGCATTTACTTGTATTCTGCTACTAAATTGATCGCTTGTTTAATTTTTCATTACCGTTTGCATCTGAATTCTAAGTATTTTGTTGTTTCTAAAATGTTGTCCTTGTCGATACGATCGCGCTACCGCAAACGGCTCGTTATTTCGACCACAAACGAATAAGATACGCGCGTTTTAGTTTTTAGTACGCAAAAGTTACTTTAACGTTACGATCGCGCTTTGACGTCACTGATCTCACTCGTTTGGAATCGGAATTGGGATCTGTAAAATTCTATGCGATTGTGGTTGATTTTCCCAACTTTTTCGTGTTGAGGGAAGATACTGATTCTTGATAAAATGATACAGAAAATTCATTCGATAACTTAAGTGCGTAGGATAGTTTTTAGACAATGCAAACTCAAATAACACCTAAAAAGCAAAAAAACAACATTAATAGTTCACTACAATGATAAAACGATAAATTCACTCATTTGCTTCGTTTTGGCCCCCATCTCCACCTCTTCCTCCTCGTCCTCCACGACGTCCTCGACCCCTTCTTCCCCCTTCCGCCGCTGCTTCTTGGCGGGCTCGCTCAACGGCTTGTCGCGGGTTTCTCTTGACCCGAGCCCCAACTGGGGTTACATATGGTGGTGGTGGTGGCTGAGATGGAGCGGTAGCTTGGCGAATGATCGGAGGTTGCGGAGTTTGTTGTTGCGGGGTCTGATACATCGAACTCTGTTGCTGATGTTGGAATTGAGAGAACCCATGAGAGAAAGTGTCCCACTCCTGAGATGCTCCACGACTCGATGACCCTCCACCGGCTTCCGCTGTAGGTGCCCACTGGTACTCGAACGGTTCAGGGATCTCGGTTTCTTGAGTTGTACGCACCTCATCGAATGTAGGTAGAGGCCTGCGTTTGCTCCTTCGTGGGGGCTCAACCGGGGGCACAATGGGTGCATCATCACGGAATGAGGGTCGTGCCGGGGCAGGAACGGGAGGATATGCCACGACATCCCTCCTTTGCTCTCTTGTACAACTCAGGAGGTTGTTCATAAGTCGGGTCAACCAATTAGTCTTCCGCTCATCCATGGTTGGAGCACTCTCGAGGGTGTACTTGGCATGTTCCAAACCATCAACCTAAGGAAAGCACTTATCTTATCAAATTAACTAAACCTTAAAATAAATAGATTTTTGAATGAGGGAGATTAGGATGACTTACCAACGACCCCATCACAGCACCTTGCTTTGACACCCATCTCATGGTGAACTTCCGATACCACTGCATGTATCCATCGTGGTAGCCCATCGGTCTCGTCTCCGGCATCCCTTGCACCACCCATTGGGATCGATTCTCCCAGATGTTGATGTAGAATCCATGCTTTAGCACCCAGTTCTTTGCAGTGTGTCGGAGGTCAATAGCATGTAGCTCCCTGAAACCGGCTGGCGGGTCTTGTGGAATGGGTTGCTCCATTCGATATTGCCTCAAAGATCGATCGGGTAGGTGCCATTCCACCATGTGCCAGCAGATCAATGGCACTTTGCACAACCACGTCTCGTGATCCAGAGGGTGCCTAAGATGATGCAGCTCACCCACTTCACGTGGATATGGATCCCATATAACCTATATTCATTAAAAAATTCGGAATTAATGACCATTTACATTGACAAAATTTAACTTGTTCAAATATGGACAAAATATGATTACCTGATTCCACCATGGTTTATCTAACTCAGAACGATAAAACAATAACGAATGCTCAGGTTGATGGTCATTCGTATTTGCTCCTATCCACCTTGTAAGTAAAAGTACGGATTCAATTTAGTTGAAATATAGCTAAGCATATAATAAATTAAATTGGTCTAAGTACGTAATAAATAAAATTAAAATCTAGCTAAGCATGCAATCAAAATTAAATTGGGCTAAGTACGGAATAAATTCAATTTAAATCTAGTTAAGCATGCAATCAAAATTACAGAATAAATTCAATTTAAATCTAGCTAAGTACACAATCAAAATTAAATTGGGCTCAGTACGAAATAAACTTACTTGACACCGTAGGGGAGATTTTGCAGAAAGTTGAGTTCATCATCGTTTCTCCGGTATGGACGTGGGTCGGCAGGTGCGAACATCGGTAGATGCTCCCATACCCACAGTTGCAGGATGAACATCGCAGCACCAGCTTGCTTTGCCCCAACCTTCGAGCAAGTACACAGCTCCCGGTATACGCCCGCTAGCACGGCCGATCCCCAACTCTTCTCTCCAATTGCATCCCAGTCACCAGTGAGCAATGGCAACCATATGCCTTGAATCCACCGGTTGGACTTGTCGGGGAACAAAAATCCACCCACCAAACCGATGAGGTAGATGCGGGCGTAGCGCTCGACTTGTTCTTCCGGTGTCTCGTCATTGATTTCCACCTCTTGCTGGATGTGAGATACCAGCCACGGGACCGACACTTGCCCCGCATTCAACGGTGGATGCCCCCGTCCTTGAATTGGTGTGGTGGTCGGCATGTCGAAGCCCAAACGATCACGTATGAGCGGCCCCCAACCTCCTTCGGGTTTGGTCGTGGAACCAATGACTGCATCTCCAGAAATAGGAAGCCCGGTGAGGATCGCCACGTCTTTGAGGGTGATCGTCATTTCCCCCTCCGGAAGGTGGAATGTATGGGTTTCGGGACGCCATCGTTCCGCCATTGCCGTAAGCAGATCGTTGTCGATCTCGATCCGCAAGAAATGGCGCAACATTCCCAAACCGGTCCTCGCTATGTAGGGCTCCAACCTTGGATGCCAAGCGGGCAAGTTATTGGTCCCTTTATGAACCACGGGAACAAGCGATTCCTAAAACAAATAGGAAAAATAACAATTTATTAGATTAAATAAAGCAAAATAAAACCTTAGAAAATAATAAAATAAAGCAAGAATACACAAAAAATTACCGGATAGTTATCCCAAATAGCACGAGAGCGATGAGCTTCTTGATCGGTTAAGAGACTCGCATCCCTTGGGCCATAATGGATATACAATCGAGGATCGTATATCTCGGCACCCATCTATAAAAAAGTAATGAAATCAGAGATTGTTTTGATAAAAAAAAAACAAAAAATCAAATTGTTTCAATTAAAAAAAATTCATAAACCAAAAACCTACACGAAGAGCCTCTTCGTCCATTTTTTGGCGTAGGCCGGACAGAGGTTCGACGATTTTAGGTTTGTAAGGGACGGGAACTTGGCGGGACGGGGGCTTTAGGGTCAAACTCTAGTAATTCTTTCTGATGTGGAAGATCGGACTTAGCCGCAACCACAGAGCATACTTAGAACGAGACTAGAGCGGATAAATTGAGGGAGAAAGAAGTGAAATGTTTGTGGTGTGAGTTGAAAGTGAAAGGGGAAGGGTTATTTATAGTTGGGGGAAGGGGGGAAGGGATCTGCCGAGAATTAAATTCTCCCAGCCTTCACCGTGTCCAACAGAAACGGTGAAGTCACCGCGTTTCTCGAGGACGGTGATGAGGCGCGGATCGAGCGACGTGGCTCAGCGTGAGGCGTCGGATCTGGAAAGAAAACCACGATCCGCGCCTCACCGCATCCAACGGCCACGGTGAACGCGCCAGCGACGCGGATCGCTGACGCAAACAAACACGGGATATTCACCGTGTTTGTCTAACGCGGTGAATACCCCGCGTTAGTCCACGTCAGCGCCTTCACCGTGTACCACTAAAACGGTGAAGACCTCACCGTTTTTGTCCAAAACGGTGATTTGTTCACCGTTTCTGTTTAAAACGGTGATACCTTCACCGTTTTAGACTAAAACGGTGAATACTTCACCGTCTTTTTTCAAAACGGTGAATTATTCACCGTCTCTGACAAATGCGGTGATACTATTCACTGCGTTTGTCAAAAACGGTGATGCTCAAACATGTGTACTTTGGGAAATTTTTTTATAACTCATGTATTTTGGGAATTTTTTTTAAGAACGTGTGTACAGTGGGATTTTTTCCGCCCCAACCTACAGGGTCAGAAAGAGTCAATAAGAAAATACGAACGGGGAGGATTAGTCATATATCTTGACTCTTCAGAAGTGGGTCAAACAGGATCAAGGTTGGGTGAGGGCAATTTTTAGCGCTAAGCAGAGTTCTAGGTTGAATACCTTTACTTAGGCCTAGAAATTGGTGCTGATGCAGACTGCAGTTTTTATTATACCATCATCAATCATCATTGAATTAGTCCTGGGCATCCCTCCCCGTTGTAGGTCTGAATTCTAATGATGGCTTCATTCCTTGCACCAGGCATATCAGCGAGTTGCCATCTCGAGCATGATTTGCCTATGTACAAATAATACAATTAGAGTATGAAAATGAATTCAATGAAAAGGAAAAGAGAATTCTATCACATGCCAATAAATACACACATAATAGTTGAAGCTAAGTGAAAGTCATTACTCGCACATCAATTCTAAAAAATTACAGACTAAACATTGGCTAGAATGGCACTGAAACTACCAAGAATCATGGACGAAACAACTTGTCAAATTAAATAATCCTTATACTGAAACTACCTTCTAACTTGAAATAAGACATGATCACAGTTCATAGCTCTCTTCTCACTATGATTTGGTTGCAGCTCGTCCTTATCACTGCCTCTCAAGCTCAATTCAAACAGAATAGAGACCGTTATGTAAGATAACCATATTCTTACTGATCATAATTCCTTTCTTCACTCCATTTTTGTCGGAGAAAAGAGTTATCCCCCTCTCCTGCATTTCCCTTTCCCCCTCTCTTCTCCCTCTTCTTCACAAACCAATCCCTAAACCAGCAACAACAACACAAAAATAGCCTTCACCTCTCCCGTCTCCATCTATTGAACGCGTTGGTGGCAAGACAGGACTGCAGAAGCAAAATTTTCTAAAATCAAACTAATTTTTTTGAAGCAGACTCAACCACGAAAAAAGAGTAAAGCAACAATGCAGTAGAACCCTAAATTTAACTACAATCAAGCACATATCAGCAAGATTTTCGATTTTTCTGAGAGTTAACTACACGGAGAGAACAATTGATGCATAATTGAAATGCTCCAAGCAAGTTGAAGGCAAACCATAACTTTAGAATTTGGTCATTATAATAACCTTCAAGTATTGATGCTTCTAAGAACTATCATGTCCAACCCCCACTTATACAACTACGTAGCCATAGTAATTAGTTGTATAATGAGAAATATTACAAAGAAAACTACATAAACAACCAATGTAAGTAAATATTAAAACTAACAACTGATAAAACTTAAAATCTCTCTATTGGTATAAATGTATCTATTAGTAACTACTATGCAATCGAGTATATATTATTTTTAGGCACTGAATAAGAAAAGTATAGATGACTCACAAATGAAGACGTAGCAACTGAAGGTAGCACACAAAAACCAAAAATAGAAAAAGAGATAAGAAAAAAGGCGAGAAAAAGTCAAACAAAGAAAAAGCCCATATAGGAATACCTCGCTAGCTTTAGGGACTCTCTGCCACAACAAACAACCTTCTTAAAAATCTAACACCCTGAGACATCAAACAAACCTCCCACGACACTAATGTATGGCATTCCTATTGTCCAATATGTTTGCCCAATTTAGACTTCTAAACAAATGGACTTTTCACCATTAAACCAAAACTCACAATCATTAACAGTTAATGCAAAGACATACATTTCTGAGGCCAATCACGGCATTTAAGCATAATTTTTAGTTGAAAAGAACAACTAAGTATTTAGCTAAATGATATAGTAGAATGGACACAATCTGCTACCTACTAATGATATAAACGTGTACCGGTACCATCGTTGTATCCTGACTTGCCATTTGCAACGGGCACTTTGAAAAACAGCTGCATTTTAGAGAATAAACACCCATAAGGGCGTTACGAAACCAAGCTTAATCCAAAATCTTCATATTCCACTTCGAAGACTCCATTTTCAAAAATAAGAGAGTTTAACATGTCAAATCACTCATTTGAAAAATCTCAAACAACTATTAATCAATGCAATATAAAGGCACGTTCCAAATTATGTACTTGTAGGAATAATCCCAAATAATTATCAATTAATGCCCCAACTACCTAATGTGCAGAATAGCCCTGGAGCTGTGTTGTTGTTTGCGTTGGTCTACTTTCAAACATAACATAGTTGCATCACGAACCAAAGCAATTAAGCAAAAATCTTCATATTCCAAGTAGAATGACTCAATTCAATTTGGCCAACGCTTTATACATATTGTTTACCCCTGGACCTGTTGCACTTGCACCTTCAGATCTTCGTGAACAAAATACAATTGCGGAGAGGAGGCTGTCAACTAAATAAAAATTGTTAATTAAGTGAATCACCATACAACTAAACAAACGCGCTCTTCTTGATTAGCTATCAAAATAGTGGGGGTCGCTACAATCCATCAGTTGCTCCCTCTGCGCCTAAGTTGTAGATATTAAGTTTCAGTGAGAACTTTGAGTACATGAGGAGATATTTTGTAGTGGAGGAGATGACCCGGCGAGTAGAATAGGAAGATTTGGAGAGGCTGCAATGGGCAAAGCAGTTAAAATCGAGATTTTACCTAAAATAAAAAACTGGGGTAAAATCAAAATCGTATAATCGAATCGTAAAATCGTAGGATTTTAAGTACCATATAGAACATAGCATATACGAATATTAATAAGGTAAATTATTAATATCACAAAGACACATTGCATTTAAAATGATAATTCAGAAGATTTTTTTTCCATAAGATAATTCTCAAGATTAATGTTCCAAAATCACTATTTTAATTGTTATTTAATGTGTAACTCAAAATAATTCATGATGAAGGGATATAGTTCATGGGTTTGGCTCTTATTTTCATGTTATGTCTAGGTTGTTTAACTCAAAGTAATATTTCGACATCGTCTACTAAGTATGATTTAAAACTAAAAATAATTGAACTCCAATAAAATAAGTAATGTTAGTGGCTTGGTACAAATATATTCATTAATAAATTAATTAGTTAATAATGATGTTAGTTCTTACATACTTCCAATATTAGGACAGGTGTTTTACCAATAAATTAAATATGGTGAAGGGAAAGAGATTAACCGAACTCTAATTTGATTATTTTTATTATTTTTGAATATTTTTCTAATAGAAAAATATATGAGAAGATTCCATTGCCCTTTCCGCTGAAACAGTTATACTTATTTTAAATTGGCTCAAACCACCTATTTTGTTCTCTTACGATCAAAATCCCGATTTCGGTACTATTTTACGATTTTAACGATTTTAGTCCCGATTTTAAACGATTTTAAGGTCCACCGATTTTATAGTAAAATCAAGATCGGAATCCCTAAGTAAAATCCTAAAATTCTACGATTTTACGATCAAAATCCCGAATTTGACTGCATTGGCGATGGGTGCACGATTAGTGGGCCAAATAACAGTTTGGGCCCGTTTAAATGAAAACATATTTTTACTTTCGTGCTCAACAGACCGACCGCACTGGCATCTTCTAAATTTACCCCTAAAAAATTGCTTTGTACGCATCAAATTTGAAATGGAATCCCTCTTTTCTCATTTCACATTTCACATTTATATGATGTGTAGATTGTGATGAGTGTAGATGTAGACATGTCATTGTCCTACAAATTCATTAACACCCCAAAAAGTGGTGAAATGAGCCACCCTATTAAACACAATCTTGTATAATGATCATTGGATCCAATCATGCCAGATTATGAAGAAGTTTAAAATGTAGCGGTTATCCCGACTAAAACATTAAAAGAACCAGTCTCATATAGTTTGCACAAAGATATAATTTCTCCATAGTAATTCTGAAAAATAATATTAATTTAACAAGTCGATATTGCTTCTACATGTTTAACATTGCAATTCGATATGCAATATTCGAACCAGTGATATTTGGGCTGCAATTTTAGGGTTATTGTATATTTATAAAATAGATAGAAATTTAAATTAAGTATTAAACTACAACTAAAATAATCAAAGTATTAAAACACCAAATAAGTACTTACGGGAGATTCAGTGGCCAACTAATCGTTAAAAAAGTCATATGATTTTCATAATTTAGGTTCGTGTATGTTTGAATTTAAATAGATACAACAAATATACTTAGTGTGATTGGTTATGATCCTTGCTTGCCTTTAAAGAGACCAAGGCTCAAATCCCAGTGCATGCCTTTTTTATGAATAAAAAATAAGAAAATAAGCAATTGTGAAGACCAAAATGTCCTTCCTATAATCACTCTCGTTGCAGGAAATTTGAAATGGAGCAACAGTTTTCATCATTCGGCTTTTATTTATTATCTAGATCTAGACTAGATTGAAGCAGCTGAATGTGATCTGGACAGAGGAACATATTACCACATCGAATTAACCACTTGGCCCCAATAACTCGAGTTGTTTGGAAAGGGATAGTTAAGCCTTTTAACCAATACGCCCCCTCAAACGAAAGCCGATGCCGAATTGTGGATTTTTTTACGGTTTGCACAGATTGAACCCTTGTGCTAAACAAATGGCTGAAAATGGGGTCGTCATGAGGATTCGAAACCATGACCTTTTGGTTCCAGGCTCTGATACCATGTTAGTGAACTAACCACTTGGTCCCAATAACTCGAGTTATTGGGAAAGAGATAGTTAAACCTTTTAACCTCTTATATTATTTGACATCAGTCTAATAATCGTCCATGACTGTGATTCAAGGACAACCGAGATGGAGTGTTAAACTTGTGTGCTGAGATACACCTCTTAGGGGCCGTTTGGATTAGAGATTTGGATGAGTGATTTCAGAGGGATTTAAACACAATCTCTCATTTTGCAGATTTTAATACAATTATGCGTTTGGGAAAGATGAGAAATTTTACAATTAAGAATTTTAAATACTCTCAATCGTGGGTTTTAGAAATAGTTGATCACCATCAGCTATTTCTAAATCTCTCGTTCTTCTTTTATTTATTCCAAAACCTACCCTCCATTCGACTCTTCTTCCTTCTTCTCCGACCGACCTTATTACTCCAATCACTCCACCCTCAACCACCGACGCAAAGCATCCTGAGCAGCATCCAGATTTCCCCAACCATCGCCATATCTGTCAACCTTCTCGTTGTCCTATGCCATTGACCCCCCAGTCGTCGCCACTATGGCCGTGATCGAAGAGCTCCAAAAGACGACAAGTAGGCCTCAGTTCCGCCTGCCAATTTGCTGGTCGCTGGTCACGCCGCAAACATCTCCACGTCGGTGCCGATTTGCTGTTTGAATAAGCCTGGTTAAGAGTCGAGAAGAAGTGATGGAATCTGAGGGGTCAGATGGAATAGCGGGGAAGGGGGTCAGATGCTATAGAGAAGGGGGAATCAGCCAATCTGGGTTTCAATCGATCGACTAGCGAACTCGAGTCATATGAAGTGGAATACAAAAGCGGCAACTAGCTAGGGTCGTTTGGAATTGGAATGGAGTGAGATGTATATGCAATTTTTGATTGGGGTTCTTATTTGTCTCCGATTAAGAGTTTGTTATCTTCTTCTTTTATGTGCAAACAATAATGAGATTATGGCTTTGTGATGGAATCAGATAAGAAGAGCAGTATGATAATTGGTGTAGAAGCAGGGGAATAACAATTGATTGCTAGTTGCCTAGTTTGATTACAAACGAAGAAGAACACGAGGGAAGATGACAAATGATATTATTGTAATTTGTGTTTTAAGGTTAAAATTCTGCGTTTCAATCCAAACGAGTTATTTCTATTAAATCCTGCATACAAATTCCCTGGTATTTTAAACGAGAGATTTAATCAAGATCCCTCGTTATTAAAATCTCTCATCCAAACAACCCCTTAAATAATTGCTTGCAATGGATTGAAATTCTTGATGGAGAGATATTTGGGCACGCAAGGTCTCAAGTCTTCGTTGTCTTTGATCTCTCTTGGCGTGCTTGACATTTGGGCGTCTTCCTCTTCAACTCACTACAGTGCTCCTTCTTCGACCCCTCACTAGAGTGTTCATGTCCTTTGATATATAGGTAGGAGCTCGGTGATTGTTGTATAGTCAAATAATCGTTTTGCTTTCACTACAAGCAGCATGGAGGGCTCTGAATCATGTTTGTCTTTGAGTGATGCCATTATCAGAACAATCTGATCGAGTGCCCGAAACAGGGGTCCAATAACCCCCATCTCGTCACCATCCTCGTCCAATCAGATCGCCCAGAAAAATATATTATCGGAAGTACTTAGGCTCGGATAGCGACAACAACAATGCAGCTATGGAGGCGTTTTTGGTAGGATCCTAGTGGAGAAGTTTGTACGAGTAGTCAGCAACGTGGGAGAGGTGACGACCTTACTGCTTCGTAGTGAGAGGATTTGATTTTGAATACCATCGGTGTGCACAGGCGTAGAACAGAGAAGATAGCCGAGTTGTAAGTACTAGAAATTAGTCTAAAAAATTGCAAACTCATCACAGTTATTTCCATGGTTATCACGGTGTTAGATGGATACTAACGGGAATGATGGATGGTACAGTTTTGTCTGTGTTTTGTGGTTTAGTTGTATTAAAAATGAATTAAGTGACAAACTTAAGTCTATTTGATGAGTTTAGTGACCAATGGTACTTTTTACTCGTTGAGCTAACATCGACGAAATTTTAGGGTCCTAAACTTAAAGCATCGTACTAAATTCTATGTATCTAAAGGGTTTTGTTGCTCAATCTTTTGCCAAGTGGGGTCAGTGGCGGACCCATGAATTTTACACAGGGGTGTCCTCTTTCAAAAAATGAAGTAAAATACAAATTATATAATTAATAAAAATTATATAATTCTTAAATAAGAAAATACACAACTCGTACAAGTTAAAAAAATGTCAATGATGTATTTTCATATTCTAAAAATTTTATAAAATACTCTTAGTGTCTACTCTGCTCAACAAATTTGTCTCGGTATGTCCTACTAGACAATCATTCACGAGATGACATATATTTTACTTCTAAATTTGTTCTTGATGTAACTCAAAACTGAAAAAACACTTTCAACACTTGTCATACAACCATAAAATCAATACAAATTTAGGGTAGTTTGTAATTAGATTAATTGTTAGATTTTGAAAATAATTAAAGATTGAGAATAGGGTTTTGTTATAACACAATGTTTAGAATAGAACAACATAAAAGTTGTAGCCTAATGGAAATTATATTTATTAGTAATAGTAGTGTCCCGGGTTTGAATTATGCAAACTACCACTTATATTCTCATGCACAAACGAGTGTAGAATAATCGTTCTTTCAAATTTCAGGGTGTCCCGGACTATTAATTATAATTTTTTTGTATATATGTAAACTATCACCTGAGTTAGATAATCGATCTTCCAAAATTTAGGGATGCCCTGATCCACGGAACAGGCCTAAATGCCCCTGTGTCCGCTCCTGAGCCCCTCTCCTTAATACCTCCCTCCGCAACTGACTACATCCAAGCAAGAAGTACAAATAAAGAAGATTCATGCCCAAACCGATTGATATACAGTATATTAGTTAAAGCTTTGGGTCACCATACAAAAGTCAAGAGCTATAAACCCTATAAACAGAGAATGTATGTATTTCGTTACACACTTACACTATTCGATGAAAGGAAGAAAAAATTTCGTGTAAGTACCTAGGGCTGTAACTCTGGCCCATACTACCCATCAGCCCAGCCCGACCCGGCCCGGCCCTGTGGGTCGGGTAGGGTAAATTAGTCTTTAGGGCCATATTAGGGCCGGGTCACATTCTGACCCTAAAAAGGTAGGGTATTTTTGGGTACCCTTAAGAGAGCGGATCTGGTGACTAAGGGGGGGTGCTTAGTCACTTGGCTAAGCCCCCCCTAGCAATTGGATGTAGGAGGATCAATCTAACGGTGAATATTAGGGAAGGGATTTTTAAATACTGGGAGGGGCAATTCTGGCATTAAAAAAATTTCATTAATTATTTTTCCTTTTTATTCTGGGAAGGGAAAAAAATTCTGCTCTCGTCCTCCTCCCGCGAAACGGCCCGCCGTCCAAACTCCTCCCGCGATCGACGAGGCGATTCCGCCGATCGGCGGGGCGATTTCCCTCTTGCAATCGACGAGGCGATTCCGGCGATTGGCGGCGCAGGCGATTCCGGCGAGCGGCGGGGCGATTTTCCTTCCGCGATCGACGAGGCGATTCCAACGATAGGCGAGGAGATTGCAGCGATTGGCGAGGCGATTTTCCCCCGCGATCGACGACGGCGAGTTGCGATTCTCCTCCAGCCAACGGCGAGGCGTTTTTCCAGAGAACGGCGAGGCGATTTTCAAGCAACAGTGATCACCGAGGCAAATTGCTTTGCATGATGGATTCTTCTCCGATAACAATGGATGAAGTGGTTGATGAAGCTAATGAACAAAAAACGGGAGAAACTGGAACTGAAACAGCAATGGATGTAGATGTAGATGTTCAGAAAACAACAGTACAACGTGAAATTGGTAATAAATATTGTTTGTATTCTTAGTATGTTTTTCTGCTCTGTTCTGTACATTTTGTATTGTAAGTCTTAATATATGATGATTGTTATGTTTGTACAAACAGTACAAACTTATGATTTATGCAGTTTGTACGAAATATCGTATGTCTTTATAGCTTTAGTGCATCAGTTTGTATGGTTTAATTATGTTTGTAATGTTAGTATTGTTGCTGTTTGTGTTCTTAGTATGTTTTTCTTTTACAGTTTGTACTCTTAGTATGTTTTTCTGTTACAGTTTGTACTCTTAGTATGTTTTTCTTTGACAGTTTGTACTCTTAGTATGTTTTTCTGATACAGTTTGTACTCTTAGTATGTTTTTCTTTGACAGTTTGTACTCTTAGTATGTTTTTCTGCTCTGTTCTGTTACTTTGCAATGTGGTTGTTCTGATATTGTAAACTGGTTGTTTCTGCAGATGATGAGATCAAAATAATACCAAGCAATGAAGAAACGTGGATGAACCTTCGCTTTGACACAAAAGATCATGGATTGCTGTGGTACAAATGCTATGCACATGATAAGGGATTTTCTGTTAGAGAAACAGGAGGGGTGAAGAGAACAAGCAACAACAAACCGTGTGAAGTTGTAAGATATTTTGGGGGCAGATGCAATAAGGAAGGTTGGCGACAAGGTAGTGCAAATAATCCAGCAAATGACGACCATGTTGACCAAAAACCTAGAAGCAGAATCACCAAAGAGGATAGATGGGATTGCAAAGCAGTGATACGCTTCCAGCTTGAAGACAGTTCCCAAAAATACTACATTTCAAGCTGGTTAGACGAGCATAATCACAAGATGATCCCACCATCATCAAGACAATTCATGAGATCAAATAGAACGATGAATGAAGTGCAAAAGTTCTTGATTGACATGTATCACAAAGCTGGAATATCGATACAATCATCATTTCAAGCATTGTGCTTGGCTGCCGGAGGAAGAGAAAATGTTGGTTTCACACAAATGGACCACAAGAATTATATCCGTACTAAAAGGTGGGTTTTGCACATTTTATAAGCTTTTTGGATCTGTTTTGTATTGTTTATACTATTTGATTTCTGTACTTTGTATGTTTTGGTAATATTCTTTGTACTGTTTGTGTACTTTGTATGTTTTGGTCTAATCCTTTGTACTGTTTGTATACTTGGGGACTAAAAGGCAAAAAACAATGAAGTTTGGGGAGGCAACAATGATTTATCATCATTTCAAAAGTGAAGCTTCAATGGACCCAGCTTTCTTTTATGAGATCCAAGTTGACATCAATGAAGAAATTGCAAGTATTTTCTGGGCGGATGGACGCATGAGAATGGACTATTTCTATTTTGGTGACACCATCAGCTTTGACACAACATACCGCACCAACAAGAATGCTCGCCCATTAGGTACTATAATTTTTTTAATTTTCACTAACATGTATGGTTGTAATGATTTTCTTCCATATTTGTCATGATTCTGTTGTTGTTTGTGCTTAGTATGTTTTTCTTTGACAGTTTGTACTCTTAGTATGTTTTTCTGTTACAGTTTGTACTCTTAGTATGGCTTTCTGTTGCTGTTTGTATTCTTAGTATGTTTTTCTGTTACAGTTTGTACTCTTAGTATGTTTTTCTGTTACAGTTTGTACTCTTAGTATGTTTTCTATTGCTGTTTGTACTCTTAGTATGTTTTTCTGTTGCTGTTTGTATTCTTAGTATGTTTTCTATTGCTGTTTGTACTCTTAGTATGTTTTTCTGTTGCTGTTTGTACTCTTAGTATGTTTTTCTTTGACAGTTTGTACTCTTAGTATGTTTTCTATTGCTGTTTGTACTCTTAGTATGTTTTTCTGTTGCTGTTTGTATTCTTAGTATGTTTTCTATTGCTGTTTGTACTCTTAGTATGTTTTTCTGTTGCTGTTTGTATTCTTAGTATGTTTTTCTTTGACAGTTTGTACTCTTAGTATGTTTTTCTGCTTTTACCTCATTACTAATTTTAAACAAAATGTTCATTTCAGCTTTATTTGTGGGCTTCAATAACTATAGAGAATCATGTGTTTTTGGTGCTGCCCTACTCTATGATGAGACATCAGCCACATTTGATTGGCTCTTCAAACAATTTCTCATTTGCATGAACGGGAAGGAACCGGGAGCTGTTTTTACCGATCAAGCGGCAGCAATTGCTGCTGGTCTGAGGACAGCATTGTCGCGCACTTATCATGGGCTGTGCACATTCCATATAACAATGAATGCAAAGAGTAATGGGTTGTGGTTGTCACCATTTTTGGAAGAGCTTTCCTTCTTGATGTATGATTTGGAGACGGAGGATGAATTCGACTATTATTGGAAGAAGATGCTTGAGAATTGCTTCAACGAAGAAGAAGAAGAAGAAGGGAAGAAATTAACAAGTAAGATTGAGGCATGGCTGCAAAACCTCCACAAAGTGAGAAGTAAATGGTCATCGGCATGGCTGAAAGATCATTTTGCATGTGGAATGAGAAGCTCACAACTCAGCGAGAGTTGCAACAGCCATTTGCGTAAGTATCTCAAGTCAAAACTTACTTTGTGGGAGTTTTTTATACAATTTAACAACCTTCTTGAAGCCAAAAGACATAAGGAGTTGAGAAATGACTATGATGCATTGAACACCATTCCATACTTGGTTTTCACAAACAGCGAGGTTCTTCAACATTTTGTTACCAAATATACACAACCTATATTTGGGAACATGCAAGATGAATACTCCAAGTCATTCAAATACCATATACGACCAAACAACTCCAAGGATATAGATGGAATGTTTGCATATGAGCTTCACAAACTAGATCAGCAAGGAAATCCTATTGATAAGAGGATTGTTATGGTTGACTTTGTGGAGCGTAAGCTGATTTGCTCATGCAAGATGTTCGAGAAGTGTGGATGGCTTTGTCGCCATGTGTTGCGCGCAATAGATCACCTCGGCTATGGAGGACACCCAGAAATCCTGAAAATTCACACACGCTACATCTTAAAGAGGTGGACATATGATGCAAAATCTGGAGATTTCACACTACCGGCAATACAAGATACAGCAGAGAGGGTGTACTGTTCAAGGGTGAAACAACTTACTGGATCCATGAATTTGCTTGCAACACGCACTTGTATGGATGATGACATATACAAGATGCTTGAGGAAGGAATGCAAGCATTGAAGATTCGTGCTGAATCCATGATGCCTGCCATGAAGTTTGGCCAGCCTAGCACAAGCACGGGTAAGAAATGAAACACTACCTTTAATTTGGTGCAGGTTTGTAATGATATCACTTACTGTTTGTATCCTTAGTATGAATTTTCATAACAGTTAGTATTCTTTCTGGTCTGTTTCTTTGTAGGATAAGTTTGGCTACAAAAACTGACTATTGCTGTTAAATCCTTTGTTTTTTTTCCTATTATAGAAGCAGAATTGAATCCAACAAGTTCAGAGAGTGAACCACATTGGGCGAAAGCATTAAAAGTCAGGACTGATCCATTTAAATCAAGGACAAGGAGGAAGAATCGTATTGAAATCATTCGAGAAAGGAGAAGACAGACAAAGTTACAAGAAAGGGCAGCTGAAGGAAAGTAAATACATGATACCTGCCATGAAAGTAAATACAAGCAGCAGGTTTGTAATGATATCACTTACTGTTTGTATCCTTAGTATGGTTTTTCATAACAGTTAGTATTCTTTCAGTTGATATTCATATCAATGACTGTTAGTATTGTTTGTATATTTTTTTGGTCTGTTTTTTTGTTGGATAAGTATGCTACAAAAACTGACTACTGCTGTTTAATCCTATTGTAGAAATGGAAACAAAGTGACAAGGAGAAGGAGGAAGATTCGTAGTGAAATCATTCAAGAAAGGAGAAGACAAACAAAGAAAGGAGAACTACTTGCCATATCATATATTACTTGATAGATACATAGATAAATTTGAGTGATTGCATAGATACACAGATAAACTGAATAATTGTCATATCAAACAGTTTGTACTCTTAGTATGTTTTTCTTTTACAGTTTGTACTCTTAGTATGTTTTTCTGTTCCAGTTTGTACTCTTAGTATGTTTTTCTTTGACAGTTTGTATTCTTAGTATGTTTTTCTGCTCTGTTCTATTACTTTGTATGTTTCTCATGCTTATTCTATGTTAGATACAAAAAATTACGAACCACAACAACAAAACATACAAACTACTGTGATAAAAATTACAAAACCAGAACATAAATAGCAGCCACCCTACTGTTCATACAAGAAAGGACAAAGTGTTTACATTCTCAAAAAAACTTAATGGTTAGCAATAGCCTTCTAACCATAACACCAACAGCCACACTACTGTTCATAAGGTCACCGCATTACAAAACATGAGAATAGAAAATAGTACTAGTGCATACTGTCATGGATTACCAAAAAAAAAAACACTAATGGTTCCCTATTCCATCATTTGTCAAGCGAAAACCCAGTACTAGAACTCCCTAATGACAACAACAATTCTTCACTAAACGTCACATTCGTCCTCAATTGCTCGATCATCAAATTCCTTGATCCATTCAGCAAATTCAGCATAGCATTAATCTTGCGGTTGTAAATATTTGCTGGAGAAGACCATTGTTCCCTCATCGTCTTTGTAGCCACACCTTCCCATTCTTCACAGTAGTTTAAACAGATAATGCCAGTACTAGTGAAATCATCATATGGAATTGTGATCCTTCGCCATTTGAAGTCGTTATCAAAGTCATACTTTCCTGGCATGATATGCTGAATGTAAGATGTTGCATACTGGACGACCAGCTCTCCAACCCTCCTAAACCGATCTAGAAAATGCTTAGAAGGAGAGCTGTCAAGGTACTCGAAACGACGATCCTTCAAGTTAACACAATATACCATGAAATGATCATCCATACAGCATGGGAAAAGCCACTGCAAATGAAGAAGAAACAAAGAAGAATCATAAAAAGTACAAAAGTGTACAAACAATATGAAACAGAACCACAAAGTGTACAAAGTGTACAAACAATATGAAACAGAACCACAAAGTGTACAAAGTGTACAAACAATATGAAACAGAACCACAAAGTGTACAAAGTGTACAAAAAATATGAAACAGAATCACAAAGTGTACAAAGTGTACAAACAATATGAAATAGAACTACAAAGTGTACAAAGGATGAAATATTCCAACTTACATATTGGCATGTCTTGAAAGATGCACCATCTTGCAATGGGTATTTTCCGACATAAGATTTCATGACCTTCAAATATTTGGGTTCCATTTTGTCATTCACAACCTTGGACTAGGTACAATCAAAGACAAAAAAAAACTTGCATTAATATGGCTAATAGATACTAAATAACATACAACAACATGTGAAAATTAACTCACCGCAAAGTCAGTTGGAAAAGACCATCTATCAATAAATCCATTCTCACAGGAAGAGCAACGGTTGAAATTCTCAATATAGCAATCAAGAAATTTTATTGATAGAACAATCTTGTCACATGTCGTTTGAGTATCCTTCCTTGACAAGCGATACTCACCTTCACCCATGTCGAAAAGAATTTCATTCCTAAAAATGTATACAAACAGTTTATATTAAATTCACAAACCGAAAAAGAAAAGTACAAACTGATATATAAATGTATACAAACAGTATGAAATGAAACTTACACAGGAAATCTGTCACTCCAAGCATATTGAATAAGTTTTTCTTCATACAATAGTTGGCTACTAGTCCGAAGTGGAGCTACCTTCTCTACCTTCTTAGAGGTTGGTTTTTTCTTTTTTTGCCGAATAGGAATAGGTGCTTTCATGGAAGGAGGTTTACTCTTTTTATTACCACTAGTAAATGGTGTCCTCTTTAAATTGGATGGCTTGAGCTCCCTTTTCGAGCGTTTTTTATTAACGAAATCAACATTCGACACAGAATCTAACAAAATAGAGACAACACAAACAAAACAGACAAACATTACAAACAGCAGCAGAAAAAGTAACTAAGTGTACAAACAGCAGCATAAAAAGTAACTAAGTGTACAAACAGACAAACATTACAAACAGCAGCAGAAAAAGTAACTAAGTGTACAAACATAACTATTACCTTCAACGCCATTCTTCTTGTCATCTTCACCATTTGACTCATCTTCAGCGTTATCACTAGAAATATCATCACAATCATCTTCAATCCCCACCCCATCGTTATCATCACTATTTGACTCGTCTTCTCACAACCAAAACAACAAAGATGAAACAATATAGCACATTACAAAAGACATAAAGACAGAGAACTAGATAAATAATAAACCATAAGATCTAGTTTGCAATCCACAAGTAGTGTGCACACGACAAAGAGTACAAACCATACAAACCAATCACAAAGTGCATGTTTAAAAGATGTACTACAAATTTAAAAGACCACCATCATTAACTAATCAAGCTTGTCACCCTGCTCACCATCAGCACCCGCCTCCACAGATTGTGCAATCTGTAAAACAACATCCATACTATCCTTAAGTGGCAGCTCCTCGGAAACTGCGGTTGGCACGACTTCATCCTCTGCTGGCTGCTTTTGAAGTGTTGGATCAAAGGCCTCAATCTCCATTGTTGGCTGCTGCGGAAGTGTTGGATCATGAGTAACTCCAGCCTTCTCCACTGCTGGCTGCTGACTCACAAGTGCTGGCGTCTTCTGGATCTCCATTGTTGGCTGTTGCGGAAGTGCTGGATCATGAGTAACTCCAGCCTTCTCCACTGCTGGCTGCTGACTCACAAGTGCTGGAGTCTTCTGGAGCTCAGCTGGCTGCTGCGGAAGTGCTGGATCACGAGCACTTCCAATCTTCTCCACTACTGGCTGCTGGTGCCCAAGTACAGAAGTCTTCTGGAGCTCAGCTGGCTGCTGCAGAAGTGCTGGATCACGAGAACTTCCAGTCTTCTCCACGGCTGGCTGCTGACTCACAAGTGCTGGAGTCTTCTGGAGCTCAGCTGCCTGCTGCGGAAGTGCTGGAGCACGAGAACTTCCACTCTTCTCCACTGCTGGCTGCTGCGGAAGTGCTGGAGCGCGAGCACTTCCAATCTTCTTCGCTGCTGGCTGCTGCCTCACAATAGCTGCCTTCTTCAACTTAACTACAGCTACATCTTCATCAGTTTCCTCCTCACTCCTATCTCCATCATCATCGTCACCACTCCGATCACCATCATCGCTCCCATCACCATCACTACCACTCCCACTTCCATTCCCACTCCCACTCTCACTCTGATAACCGCCTTCACTCTCACTCTCTACATCATCAGTTGCTGTGGCTTTCTCAACAACTTCAGCACCTTCAAAATCATTTGTTGTAACTTTCTCAACAAGTTCAACACCTTCAGAATCAGTGTGCTCCTCGATATCAGCTAGGTATAGGTGACACTGATTTATCTGTCTTCGGTACAGCTTACCTTGTTGTTCCAACTCAGATAATGCACTTTGTAACCTTCTCCTAATCAACTTAACCTACAACAAAACAAATAATAGAAAACACAAACATAATTAGAGAATGTACACAAAAAATACAAACAGTACAAAGTAATAAACCAAAACATACAAAGTGTACAAACAGTGCAAAAAGATAAAAAGTATACAGACAGTACAAAGTAATAGACCAAAATATACAAAGTGTACAAACAGTGCAACAAAGAATGAAACCAAAACATACAAAGTGTACAAACAGTGCAAAAAGATACAAAGTATACAGACAGTACAAAGGATGAGACCAAAGCATACAAAGTGTACAAACAGTGCAAAAAGATACAAAGTATACAGACAGTATAAACACTACAGAAACATATCATAAAGCATATAAAGCATATGAACAATCTGTACAAAGTAAGCAAAGAACACATATAAAATCATACAAACTCACCTCTTGAACACTTTTGCCATCCAGATTCAAATCAAAATCTGGAAAATCATCTCCAATCCTAGAACCCTTCTCATCTCCACTAATACTCTGAGCCATCTTCGGACGACTAGTAGGAGAAACGGGTGCATCCCTTAGAACAAACACCTTACCAAAATTCTTCCCAAACTTTTTCTCCATGGCTGCCTTCCTTTGCTTCAAATGGTTCGAACTCCACAACTGACAGGTTGGCACCAAATTACTGACACAGTTGCTGGCCTCTTCCTCATTCACAGTTGTTTTATCGAGGAAACAAATGAGCAAGAAATGCATGTCTCCCTCAGCCCAACTGTGATTCTGACTTGATGTCACCTTATCACAAATGACATCATACACATAGCTGCACCAATTATACTCACAGAAATACTTAACCATTTCTTGAGAAAGAAAAGTCAAGTATTCTGTTGTCACTGTCCTCGAAGTAACAGATTCGAAAAGGCGGCAGAAAATCATCAACACGTACATATTAACCCACCTAGAATCAGACTTCTCTGCTCCCATACAAGCCCTCAAATTCTCAAAACCAACTGTCCCCTTCCCAGTTTTACTGAAACCGTAATCTTTACCAAGCTTAGAATTCACCTTCGATGATTTCTGCAAACACACAACCTTAGGTCCCCGTGGAAGACCATAAACTCTGTAGACATCCTCTTCCGTAATAAAAATCTTCTTTCCATCATCCAAGTCTATGCACTTATTCTTCCCATCCCACCTTGAAAGAATGAACTTAAGAAGTTCAGTGTCCAGATTCTTCATCTTCAGCAAAAAGACAAAACCCAAGCCCAGCTGCTTGATTAATTGCACCCTGCCATGAGATAAAGGAGGCAGCACATGACTCATAACCTCTTTCGGGCTGCACCGATAGCTCAAAGCATCTTCATTCCCTCCCTCCAGGGCTCGCTTCTGCCTTTTTGCACGAACTGCTGCCTTCTACTTCTCTCCTCCTCCAGCAACAGCCTTTCTTTTCCTTCTCCCTATATCAGAAAGCTGAACTTCCTTCCCCTTCCCCTTATTCTTAAGGTTCTCCCCCTTCCTCTTGGTTTTAGTCACTTCAGCTTCAGCAGCATGGGTACTTGACCCTCCCACCTCTGAACCTTCTACCATCCTTACTTAACAGCTACAAAAGCAACAACAAAACAAGTCAACCAACAAATACAACAAACCATACGAAGCAGAGTAATAAACTGTACAAACAGCACAAAGTGTACAA